CTTCAGCCCCCAGCCATTGCCTAAAGGATGGGGAAACAAAGGGTTAAACGTCATCAGTTTGAGTTGCTGTCCAAGATGGGCCTATTGACTGGGGCTTTCCAGCCCAGGGTTGCTAGGGGCGTAGTCTGTCCCTGTTGTTGTAACTAGAGGGAATAGTCTCTGTCTGGCTAGTAGTTATAGTTGCCATGTTTGCTATCCTTGTCACATTGTTCAGCTGCTGAATGAAGGATCCTAGGATACTAACTAATTTGCATGGGGCAACTTGTTCCTCTCCACCAACCATCTTAGTAGGACACAGAATAGCACTGCTCAATTACTGTTATGAGAACAAGACAACTGGGCAAGGGAGGGTCCAATTCAACATTCACAACCTCATTAAGTAACCAGAATTTGTAAGCCGTTTTCTGGAGTTGGAGTTATTCTTCAGTGTGTCAACTAAAGAGGACTGCAAAGCTCTTAATATTATTAACCATATAACTAATAAGACAATTAAAAAGAAGTTTTGAATCACAACAATTCACAGTGAAGTATACAAAGCATTGAACTGGATTGCTTTCATTTTCACTGCCTTAAGATATATTACTAGTGCTTTTCACTGACATCCACCCCACCCCCACCCCAAAAAATAAAGTTGCTAAATTTGCACTATGTACCTTACAAATAAGTGCAAAGAACTATGGTTCCAATCACTTTGACTACATCGAAACTACACTGAAGTACTTTCATTCTGCCTCTCCATCCACAGTATTTATGGAGCTAAGTTTACTTAGTTTCAAGTAGATTGCAAGACAAATGCATATTGTTAGGGTAAGATTGTCCATCAATGAAAAAGGTGAAATTTGGTAAAAAACAGCCACAAAAGGAAACTCTTGTACGGAAAATTATCAAAAATTATGGTAGAAAATGAGTACAAAACTAATTTAAAAAGCAGACAAGTATTACTGTCTGAGCACTTATTTCTTCGGGAGAAATGTGAGTTTTCTGGAAGACTTCACATTAGACTCTTTTGAAAAAAGTTTTCCAGTTCCTTCAGTCAATGGAAAAATGTATATCACCGGTTAATTTTTATTTAAATATAGTAAAAACAAAGCTAATTATGAATACTATGTAAATTTCTCAAAAATCTTTCTTCTACTAGCTGAAAATAAATAATTTATTTGGCAGAAAGAGTGGAAACTGGGAGAGAGATGAATATGTTACATTCAGATTAAAACCTTTCTTTGGGAATTATTTTATTACAATGCTTATAATTATTCTAAACATAGCTAATTGAGTACATTTTCCTTAATTAAGAGAAATAATAGCGATAGTACTACACCTCACAGCATTAATTTTAGCATGTGTGAATTTGGCACCTAAATTTATCTGTTTCCATAAAAGTCAGTTGGAAAAGTTAATTAGAATTTAATTAGCATTATCCAACTGAATTTACACCAGGTTTGTGTTACTTTATTGCTAATTTATTTTATCACCCAATACACTTTGAAAAGTATGCTTGTAAAGTAGAAGAAATCCGGAAAAATTAGGTGAATGTAATATTTTCTACTGACATTGGAATCCATCTTATATCTTTGCATTTTTTAAATCAGCTTGCGTGGAAGTGGCTTTAAAGAGAAATTGCAGAGGCAGACACTAATATTACCATCAGAATAAAAATTTGATGTATTCTATGAGTTTTCCATCGCAACATTTTCTTTCTTTTAGAATGCTTAAAAGGGAGGAGATAAGACCTTATCAGCAATTTCCATTTCTACCACCATCACCTCACTTTCAGAAAACAAACTTCCCGGACTTCCAGTTTGAAGGGCTTTGGCGACAGACAGAAATCCACGATCGTGTGCGGTTTCTGTCTGGGCTCACCGCTGGAGCTCCCCGAGCCGACTGGTTTTGGGGCTAAGCCACCCCGTAGAGGTGGTGAAGAGAGGGTAGACCGCCAGCAGGGTCGAGGAGAGCCGCATCTCTCCTCCTCAGCTGGCCATTACTCCCTTTCCTGAAGGCAGTTGTAGCGGTGGTCAGAAATGCCCACCACAAAGAAGAACTCGACTGGAAAAGAATGTGCAGGAGGAAGATAAGAAGTGAGTTTTGGCTGACCGGGTTAAATTGTAAAAGCAACAACCAAGGCACCTCTGGAATTTAAACTTACAAAAAATAACATCGCTCCCAAAGAAGAGTTGGAAGCAGAGAAGGAAAGTGAAAAGGGAAAGGTTTGGCTTTTTTCTTCTTCTCTCTCCTTCCCTATACTGACAACTAAGAGACTTAAATAAGAAATCGGAAAAATCCGCTTTGACATCAATAGGCAATTAAGCTGAAAATAAAACAAAATGCCAAAGGGATAATAAAGATTTCTGGACATTAAAAACTTTCTTTTTCATAAGCAGGAAGGGAGAGAAAAAGAATAAGGGCAGGATCTGGAAGAGGGAGAAGACTGCTTGGAATTAAAAAGAATTTAAAGTAAAACTTCAACAAGACTTCTAAAAGATACATTTTAACTGAAACTTTGCAACTAAATAGTAACCCCAGGAAGAGAAAGTGGAAAAAAAGAGCAAAAAAGAAACAGCTTGCATGTATTTGGACTATTTGGTGATCTTTGGATTTTTGGTTATTATATTTGAATGACTAAAATCAATCGGGTGGTTGTTTAAAAATTTATACAATGGCACCACTTCTGGACGAATTGAAAATGGAACTTAAAAAGTACAAAGAAGATGCACAAGAAGGGAAGGGTTCTTTTGGCTTCATTTTTCAATTCTTAGAAATGGAGATTTGGAACTATGAGAAGCAACAAGACTGCAAAACAAGAAGACTAGGACAAAAGAAGAAGCCATCTTTAATGAACAAGTAATTCTATGTAGGGAAGAAACAGGAAAGGGGGGAAAGAGAATGGAGAATTTAAGACTTAAAAAAACAACCAAAGAAAAGAAAAATAATTTGAAAAATAAGTATAATACTGGAAAGCAACAGAAAAGGGGAATACAGAAGAGAGAAATAGAGGTAGAGAGACAAGAGGGTAAAAAGGGGAGAGGGAAGAAGAGAGGGAAGAAGGAAAGGAAAAGAAATTACAAAGGACTGGGGCAAGATATAGAGAAACAGGATCTATTTAGAGATAATGGGTGAAAATCTAACTGAAAAAGGGATTCTGTAAAGGTACATAAGATTGTATTGTTATATTAGTAATAGAAATAACTTTAGAAAATTGGAAACAACGTATGATTAAAATGTGGGATAAAATAGTTAGTGTAATTTAGTGAAGTGTTTGTGAATAAAATAAGTGAAATAAAATAAATGAGAAAATTGAATTAGGAAGGAACAGGAACATTTTAATTAGTTAATGTTTTATAAAATATAAGTGAAGAGGGGGGGAATTAACTATGGAAAGCTTATAATTGTTCCCATAGAAGTATGATATTTAATTGAAATGTTAAAGATGTTAAGACTTTAATGAATATTAATATTAATGATAGAATTGAATTGGAATGGAATGTTGTTTTAATTATATACATTTATATTTTTTTTCTTTTTTTAAGAATACAGTGTGTATTTTAAGAATGTACCAAGCAGAATCCGAATGGAAGTTATGTATTATATTGAATTGAATTATAATGAATGTTACAACTTTAGGGAAAAGATATAAAGGCATCATACTCCAATCAGTAACTACAGGAGAAATTTTGTTTAATGAGAAAAGATAATAGATAATTGAAACAGGACAGACATAAAATATAAATACAATGATTTGAATTGAGATGAGATAATTAAAATAAAATTGAGAAAATTAAAAGAGGCGAGAAGCTATGTAGAAAATGTAAAATAGTAATAAAATATGGAATAGAATATAAAAATGAGCATGAACCTGAATTTGTGTCTGTTTGAAGAAATGTAACCCGGGATTACGCTACTTTAAAAAAAGATGTTTTATTTGTTCTCTTTGTGAAAACTCAAATAAAATTTACAAAAAGAAAAAAAAAGAAGACAAACTTCCCATAAGCTCATCTTAATAACTTTTATAACTTATACAGATCTGGAAGTTAAGCAAGCTTAAACCTGGTCAGTGCTATGATGACACATCACCAGGGTATTTCGAGGCTGGAGGCAAAATTGGGGAAAAGTAAAAAAAAGTACACCAGAGAAGGTAATAGAAAAATCACTTCTACATTGTTGACCAGGAAACTGCATGGATGTGTTTGTAGCCAAAAGTTCTCCTCAGCTCAAGGGAGAACTCTACTTTATCTCCTCAAAAAATGTCATAAAATGTGACTTCTTACATAATTCTTGGCGTTTGTTTTATCCTTCACAGCTGCAGAAGTTGGAATTGAAAACAGCTGCAAACACACACAGACACACAGAGAGAGAGAGAGAAAAGAGGGAGTACAGCCACAGACACAAAGGAAAAATCAGAATTAAAACCATATGGTCAGAAACAATAAACTAGAGGAAATGGTCTCTGAGACTTGAGCAGACTTTGGGGAAGGGAGAATAACTTTCAAAATGTGATATGAGCCACAATCTAAAAAATCTATTTTCTAATACGTTACGTTTCCCATTTTAATAGGAGCAGTTGAGGGGATGTCCAAAAACACAGTGGTCTTTCTCTTTGGCATTAATGGTTAGAACTGTGGTGTATAGTGTCCTCACCAGAACAACTCCTTCAGGCAAAGCAGCAGTCAACAATTCCTTCATGACTGAGTAGCAGTCAAGTACTCTTTCCCTGCAAGGAATGGGTGGAAGATCTCACTACTTCAGGGACAGGAGATTAGAGTGAACTCTGAACTCAGTTCTTTTCCCCCACAGGAAAAACGATAGTACTGTAATAAAAGGGTTCGGCATTGGAAATTCCATTCACTGTCTTTTTTTCTCTATAAATATACCCCTCCCATATTGTGTAGGCTGGCCCTAGCCGAAAAATGAATATAAGAAAGAATTTGATTCAGCAAGAACAAGGGAAGCATTGTGTCTACACTGGCATGGATTAGTTTCAAGGTCAGGAGCTTGCAGGTACTTACCCCCTAAGAATTGGATGCCTCCAGCCACCCTGCCCACAGTCCTGGAGATCAACTCGTAGACACAGCATCCCATAAGTGCAGTGAGGGCCACTAGAAGAAGCAGGCCACAGCCCAGGCCGGTCACCACTGTGCAGATCTGCCATTCCACACTTGGAATGGCCTGGAAGGATGCGTAACGTCCACACTGCTCCACCATTACTGTAATCTGGCGGCTCTCATCTCGAACAGGATAGGAACATCTCCGGAAAGTGCCAAAAGAAACGGATTTCTCCAGCTGAGAACCCAGCAGCCAATAAGGCATGAAGAAACCCACACAGGAGGCTCCAGCACAAAGGAAGGAAAGCAAGGCCCAGATCACTCCGGCATACGTCAGGCTAGAGGCCATTTTCCCAGTCATGATGACTCAGAGGAACTTGGAACAAAATCCGCCACCTGATACACTCGTTTTGGAGATCTGTAGGTATTTCCTCAGTCCCAGGAACCTTGGAGTCCAAGGAAATCTTCCATAAGCGCCGTCAGACTCACTTCTTTTATTCTTAAGATTCCTGGTATGGCAGAGATGGTTCTTCTCCTTGTTATTTCTTCATCCCCAACGGAAGCTGCAATTGCAATGAGAAGCATTAAGGACGGGAGCAGGACAATGAAAATTGGGAAGGGGGCCAAGAAAAGTAGGCGATGAAAATTAAGTTTCACTATGAAGCCAAGCTGGGGAGCCATGCAAGAAATGCAAAATTGAAGGTTGGGTTAGATAACTTGTTCCAATCCAACCACCATTTAATGAAGGTGTTCAGAATGAAAGGATGGGTAGTCCTACCAGGCATCGGGGCTGGGAAAAGCTGCAGGGAGGTCACCACATCCAGCCCTGGACTCTGTTCTTATGGCTTTTTAGTGTCAAGTGGAAATGAACCCATGAATGACAAAATCCCACCTTTTGGTTTGGTGAAGAAACAGGTCAGTCCATCTCATCTTTCCTACCACATCTGGTTGTCAGTTGGCAAACAAAAGAAAAAGAGCTCTCTTGTTCTTTTGACATGAGGAAGTCAGCAGTGGAAGCTTTATGGAGCCTGGAAATACCACCCAACAAAGCCCATGGTCACGTCACAGAAGTCAGCTGGGAAGCCCACATCTGCCTTGCCTTGTGATCGAGACAGCCAAGAACTACTAAAATCCAAGGTGACTATTGAGGGCAGCAAGTAGATACTAAAAGCTCTGACTGCTGCTATGCAAGTGGTCGTCCATATTTTTGCAGCCCAGTTAGCCTTCCAATATCCATCCTGAGTTAAATGAAGCGCTCAATAACACCCTGCCAGTAACAACGCCTGGGAATGGCTACAAAACCCTTAGGGCAGAAAGATTGGAGAAATAAGAGAGCAATGTCCCAAGACTTTTTCCTCCTGCTATTCCTGTTTATGCCTAAAAGGAATAAACTGAGCTTTCAAAGATCAGGAAGACAATTGAACAAAACCCCCAAATGGTCTTGCCTTTTAGAAGAGGCTGTAAAAGAGGGAAGTTAACACTTTCACAAATTAGGCTCTGCCCCCACTGTTTTTCTTCTCAGAGTTATAAGCCCCTGCCTAGATCCCAACAAGAGAAGAAACACCAGCCCGATCACCTTTCAAACCAGAAGGGAAAAGAATGGGCTGGATCGCATTTGATAACAGGAGGAGGAAAATCTGGCAGTCCTGTCAAATCCAAAACCCAGGCTGCACCCCTGGGAAGGAAGAAGGCCAGGATCAGGCAGAGGAGCCTTCTTTGAGCATCCATATATATGTGTGTGTGTGTGTGTGTGTGTGTGTGTGTGTGTGTGTGTATGTGTATGTGTATATGTATGTATATATGTGTGTATGTGTGTACACACACACACACACACACATATATGTGTTTTCTTAAGTTTTCGCAGGTACTTACATGTATGGTATTCAGCTTTGTTCAGAGGAACCCAATACAGAAGCCTGATGATGGCAGATGAGATTCTGCAGAAACGTTGCTACAACTCTAAAAGCACAACTATAATGATGTGGGAAAATACCCGAACAAAGCTGAATACCATTCATATCTATCTCTATCTCTATCTCTATCTCTATCTCTATCTCTATCTCTATCTCTATCTCTATCTCTATCTATCTCTCTATCTATCTATACACACACATATACATATATGTATGTATGTATACACACACACACATATTTTGCCCACCCACGGTAAAGCGAGATGCACGCCGCGCCCCTCTCCACTCCCCCGGGTGCCTGCTTCGCTCAAAGGAAACTGGAACGGGCAGCAACCGAGGGGAAAGAGGCGCAAAGGGGGAGGAGGGGGCGGCGAAAAGAGAGAGAGAGAGAAAAAAAAGAGAAGCTGTTTGCAAACTCTCCCGCGCCGGCTGTCAATCCGGGGAAATGGGGTGGGCGAAGGGGGTGTCTCTCTCCCCCCCCACCCCCAAGTGCTGAGTCACGGCCTTTCTCCGGACGGCCGGGCGTCAATGCCGAGAGGGCGCTTTGCCAAGCCTGCCCCGCTGGAACTTGCCGCTTAAGTTTGGGTTCTGCTGGGCTCTCCCACTGCCGCCTGGAAAGGAGACGATCCCCGGCACTGAGAGAAGGAAGACCCGGGGCTGGCGTTGGGAAGGCGGGGGAAAAGCGGGCGGGTGTTCCGACCCCACCTCCCCTCCTGCTCTTGGATCTGGGGCAGGCAAGGTCTCTTTTTTTCCACCGTTTGCCCCAAACGGCTTCTCCGCCCGCGGTGCTGGGCAGCGGCAGCTCCTTGGATCGGGACGAGGATCGCGTCCCCGTCCCCTCCCCGTCCCCCACTCTCTCGGTTAACTCTAAGCCTTTTTTACCAACCTGTCTTGCGCCGATCCGGCAACACATGGAAGCTTGCAAAGCGCGGCCTTTCTGCAGCTGCTCGGCACGCGTCGGAGCCGGGAAAGCTGCAGCGGCGGCGGGGGCGGCTTTTGGTCCGGAGCGCAGGACCAGCTGCGGCCGCCGCGCTCGGTTCTGGGAGAGAAGAGACCAAGCAGGGTCCCAAAACCTCGGGCGCGAGGAGCTCCGCCCCCCCCTGCCACCTACGAGGACGAAGAAGGGGGAGCTTCGCGCTCAGCCTTGTAAGGCGAAGGAGGACAACACCCGAAGAGAAGCGATCGCGGCGAGGCGGAAAACGAGAGCGCATCTCTCTAGCATCTTGGCGGGTGGGTGGGGGTGGGGG